ATCAACAGATTCAACCCCCCAGTCCAACCATGGATTGGTTGGCAGAAAGTGATGAGTTGATGCTTATGGTTACCAGAAGAAAAAAATGGTGCGGAAAAGGAAAATGGCATCAACAGATTCAACCCCCAAGTCCAACCATGGATTCCTTTTTGGTCATCCAAAATGTAAAACTTGAGCTCAACTTAATTAACCCAATATAAACTCATAAGATTATCAAAATCTGGAACTTAAAGCTGACCGAATTATCTTTTCTCATGGTTTATATGGTCAACCTCTCACTCCAAAATGGTTGAACATTTCCACCCCTGCATTAGTTAAGTGTGGATGTATTATACTTCACTTTTATTATTATTATTTTTCATTAATAAAAGGTAATATTATAATTATAATTATATGTAAAATTATAAATTTACAATTATATGAGACATTAAATTAATATAATGTCTCATTAAATTTATAAATGCGTTGAACCTATTAATATAATTATATATTATATCATAAATTTATAATGTAATGAGTTGTTATAATACCACATATTATTCTAATTATATTATTTTTAATTAATAAATTCTTTTTTTGAATGAATTGCAAATTGAGGCGGAGGGAATCAAATTCAATTCAAGAAGCTAAGTACATCTTTTAAAGATGATAAAGCCACTAAGTTATCATGTGTAATTAATAAATTCTTATTAAACTTTAATAGTTTCGTACATATTTTAATAAAAATAATGATTATTAAGACAAATGTACTGTAAGATGAATTTATAGTGACCTTGATCATAGTGGTTGCTTGCTCCGTATGAACTAATTGAAAGACGAAATAATCTCATTCCAAAATTTTGTCCAAAAATTTAGTTGCAAGAATTCTCTCGGGGGTGAAATACTAACTGGATTAAAGCTCGAATTGTTTAAACCCTAGCCAGGCTTACGTCCAAACATGCCGAGACGAATTGGAATATACTAATTCAGATCCGATTAACCCGAAGTCCGAACCTGAACTAGAATTTCTAGAACTCGGTTGGAAGTTCCTTCCAAGTA